CCAATGACGAAAGACAGCTGCCCATTCACCCGGATTATTACAGCCTCTACCGTGTCCGGCACACCCTTTCGACCGCGTTGGTATCGATCTATATGGTCCCCTTCCTTACACTGCCACTGGAAATCGATGGATCATTGTCGCCGTCAACCATCAGATGAGGTATGCTGAAACAGCTCCACTACCTACGGCTGGTGCACGTGACGTAGCCAATTTCGTTTTGCGACGCTTCGTACTGTGTCACGGGGCACCACGTGAACTACTAAGTGATCGAGGGCGTGTCTTTTTATCCGAAGTTGTACAACAACTCCTTCAGGCATGCCGCACGGTGCACTGCACCTCTACAGCCTACCACCCGCAGACCAACGGTCTAACTGAGTGCTTCAACCAAACGATAGGAGACATGCTCGCCATGTATGTCAATTCCGACCAATCAAACTGGGATGTCATTCTCCCATTTGTGACCTATGCGTACAATACCGCGACGCAGTCAACTACAGGCTTCTCGCCTTTCTTTCTTCTATATGGGCGTGAGCCATGATCCACCCTTGACAACATTATGCCGTATCGTCCCGTAGTCTCATGCCTAGTTCACACTGAAACATCCGCTTTCTACAGCGACCGAAATTCCCCTGCCGCCGAAACGCAGCGTCGTTCGCACTGGACGCGCCCCGCGCTGCCGAATATGCCATCTACTACGGGGCGAACGCGGGATGGATGCGCTGTCACCCGGTTGTTGTCGCGGCTCGCAAACGCTACTACGCTATCCGGTGGTGTATACTTCGACAATTCTCATACGCAAGAAGCAAGAAAAAACAGTACTGCTTACTTTTCTGGCAAGTGGCTGTTTTGTAATGCACGAAGAGCAGAAAAACCACCGACGCCAGCGGCGTTGGGGGGTTCGTTTTGCTTTGCAAGACCGCAACAAGCTCGGTCACGCCAACAGCAAGCTCGGTCACCTCTTTAACGAAATACGGAGGTGAAGTAGGCACAGAGTAGGTTAAACTCCCATTGGTTTCAACATTCAGGTACGTGCACTGCAGCATAACAAGTGAGTAGGGCTTGGCCACCATTCTTCGAAATTCTTTGACTAGCGCTCCTATTGGTCCGCGGGGACCGATTCGGCGGCAGACGCCGCAAAAATCGGTCCGAGAGCGATCGGCGCGGAGAGGGCCCTTTCGGCGGATCTCGCCGCCGCCGAACCGGATTCGGAGCACTTTCGGTGGCCGGAATGCTCAGTGTGAACGCGGCCTCAGAGTTCAGCCCTCTTTTTGAAATTTTGCACCACGCTGAAGAGTGTCGTCAGTTGGCCCGATCATTCACCTCGGACAAGCAAGCATTCGAAAACGACCGCCACGACCGCGACCAGCAAGTCGAGACTTTTTCCGTGGGCTCGCTTGTCTGGCTCCGACTGCCCTTCCACTCCCCAGGTCTGTTCGCTAAGTTTGCCCCCAAGTTTCACGGCCCTTATCGCGTCGTCGAACGTCGATCTCCTGTCACATACGTGATCGAGCCGGTCACGCCATCTACAGACAGGCGATGCCTTGGTCGTGAGACTGTCCACGTGAGTCGTCTCAAGCCATATCACGACCCACTCCTAATCTCGTCACCTTGACTTGCCAGGATGGCTCGTCTTCGTCGCCGGGGTATTGTAGAGAGGAAGAAGAATATGTGCCGCAGTGAGTCAGGCCTTTAGCAAGAGGAGCCGAGCGCGAGCTCTTCCCCCGAGCGTTGTGTTTCCTGCGTCAGTTCCTGCCGCCCGCTTCCCGCATCAGTAGACCTGCTGTGCAAGAACTACTTGCGCCAATCAACCCCGTTTCACAAAAAGTTCTTGTGACTAGACGATAGAAGTGAAATCTGCACAAATTTAACCACAAGGGTTTGCATTGTTTCGCCATTGCGTTCCAGATTTGGCATCGAGATGTAATGAATTATTCTTTACAACATCTCAAAACAAACATACTTGTCTTGCCCTCGAAAGTACGCAATATCTATTTATGAAAATAACATCATAGTATTAAGTGAGGAACACTTAATCTGTGATGCCAGGTGTCATGCTGTGATGCCAGGTGCGTCTGTTCAAGTGGTCTGCCTCCAACGCACCTCTCGTTTTGTTGGGATGTCGAGTCAGAAGAGCGTGGCGGTGCGATTACTTCACGTCGCCGTTGTTTTGCACTTAATTTCAACGAGTTTTGGCAAGGCGCACTAACAACAAACGTGAACGCGATGTAATATCCTGCACTGGCATGGGACGCTACTTCTAAGCCCAGCGGTGAGTGGATGACTCCTTGCTTAAGCTCCAGCGTTGCAGTAAATTGAGAGACCCAGCAGTTTTCAGCCGCTTTGAGCGACAAAGGCGCAGATTCAGTCCTTTGCACCCGCCCCACTACCCACTCTACGCGAAGAACGAAACTGAAACTGTAGAAAAAAATGGCAGCATATCCAAGGAGTGAATGATGGAAAGGGGGGCGAAGCATTCACCCATCCATTCGTTCTTGCTTCCGTTTGTTCACGTGTCCGTCTGTGTGACCGTCCGTGCGTCCGTCCACCCGTCCGTGCATGCGTCTGTTCGTGCGTCCATCCATGCATCTGTCTGTGTGGCCGTTCGTCCATCTATTCAAAACTCCAAATAACACCATCTCGCATCTTTTCATCATATATTCCCCATATAGAAGCACAGCCATCCAGCGGACATTCCAAGGACTAAACGAGATGTGGCGCACGCCCACTATCTTAAGGCTTTCGCTTCGGGTCTACTTCTCCCACCTTCAACCCCCTGAAGTTCATGGTATATACTAGTTCACTGTATTCATGGCACTGCGGCCCAAAGCTCGCTAAACCTTTCTAAAACCAAGGAAATTACGCCCAGCGAGTACAACGTAGGAACCTTTTCCTGTCAGATAGTGCTCACTGTACATGCCATTGGCTGCTAATGGGAAATGGGAGACAGGGGAATTCGGCTTTTACATTTTTACGGCTTGCGCTTCGTATCTATTTCCCACCGTTAACCACCTCGAGTTCATGCTATATACTAGTTCATTGTATTCATGGCACTGCGGCTCAACGCTTGCTAAACCTTTCTAAAACTAAAGAGGTTACACCCAGCGAGTATAACGGAGCAACCCTTTCTTGTCAGATATAGTGCTCAATGTACATTCCAATGGCTGCAAATGGGGAATGAGAGACAGGAGCATTCGGCTTTTAGTTAACGCGCACGCCACGAACTTTTTATATTCCAACAAAGGACAGGATAAACCTCCCACTGGCACCACCTTGCAGGTGAAAATTTAACACTGGTTACACACTACGACTACGACTATGACTACGACTACGAGGGACAAACGGGTCCCGCTTTGAGGAGCTTCGCCCCTAAAAGTCCGTAGACAGTTCACTGGCTAACGCGATCCAATCCGAAGCCTATACTTCCCATAATTCCCTTGAGGGTACGCGATTGCAGCGCCAGATTCCTCTCTAGGTATTATTGTATGAAACTCTGTGATACAGGTAAGTGAAAACCATGGTAAAGGTTCGATTTCATAGTAGAGTGCGAGGACGAGAATTTTCCACCTCTTGCAGCATACTTTTTTTGGCCATGTTTCGTAAAACCACTTTCCAGAGACTCCAAGAATAAAGTATAGGAGGAACAATTCATAGGAATAAAAAAATTTGCAGATTCCACTTACAATGGGAATCGATGATATGCGAAGTATGTACAAGAAATGGTGGTACGTCACTATAAAATCAGCACAACGTTACGAGGTGGAGGTAAATGATGCCGTACATGACTTCCATGTCATGATTATCATGTTTGGATGTGTCACTTGCCTTTGTCATCTATTCACGCCACGTGATGCCAAATTTTGTATATGTCGAGCTAGCGAAACGCTCAAGAGCACGCTATGGGCGTGGTGTGTCGCCTTGTTCCAACCTGCCACGAGTGTCAGGATTACCATGTTTGCACCAGTCGCTGTGCCCCGCGTGTGCCAGGCACGACCAGCATCCGTCGGTGCGGCCCGACTGCAACCAGTGCGAAATGCGACAGGCTGCATTTCGCGCCTATGCGTTACCCAGACAACACTGCGTCTCCCTCTTTTTGTGACACCGGACGCGCTAAAAGCGCATGCTTCAATTCAACGAAGCGCAGCGCGTGGCAACGCCGATGTGACGCAACGAAATAAACGCCGGCGAGCACGGACACCGCATCACGTCGAAATGTATTGGTGCCTTGACTGTGGCATGTAGTCATGTTCTCACATGACATGAATCTCATGATTATCATTTTTGCACCAGTCACATACCTTTGCCCTACATTCAAGTATTGTAATACCAAATTTGGTATATGTGACGCTAGAGAAACAGCCGCAAGCGCATCATGAACGTGGTATGTAGTCATCTCGTTACATGACACGCATGTCATGATTTGATGTTAGTGTCTGTCACTGGTGTTCACTATGTAATCATGCCATACCATACGAGTGTTGCAACATGCCATGTGAACAAAACCACCGCAAGAGCTGCAGGACCATGAAGTGTAAATCATGACATTCATGACATACATGTCATAATTTTCATGTTATGACTACTCAAATATGTTTTTCATACAGTCATGCTATGCCGTACCAAGTTTGGTATTGATACCATTATTAAAGCGGACAGGAGAGCTAAATGTAGTAGGTGTCTAGATAGATAGATAGATAGATAAATAGATAGATAGATAGATAGATAGATAGATAGATAGATAGATAGATAGATAGATAGATAGATAGATAGATAGATAGATAGATAGATAGATAGATACTCTCCAAGTCGCAAAAGTTCACTAAGAAACGCTTTGCATTCAACGTATTGTTGCTTTTACCTCTCTATTGTAAGCCACTATTGCGCTATTTTACGCAGATGAGCCGTGAAGAGTTTATGGCTTTCTGGCAGGTGTGAAAGCAGGATTAGGCTGAGTGAATAAGCTCTTTTATATTTGAGAATTCACAGATCTTTGAATTTTCTAGCTACGACATGATTGTTCCAGGAGACCATGGATGGGACAGGAGTTATAGAGGTGAGTTCTGAAGTTTATGAACTAAAATTGTGTATCTGTTTTTAATTTTTACCAAATAACTCCTGCCTGCATAAAATTTGGTTTTGTAATTAAGGTTAAATGAATGATACTTACATGGTGGAAAGACAGTGAAAGTTGTGAAGGAAGGTGCCTACTTAGGAGAGGAAGTAACCACGGAGCCGATGCATGGGAGCGAAATTACTAAACACTTAAGTACGCGGGATATGACATTCAGCAATCATTCTTATATTATGCGTTGTAGTTGCCCCTTGATGACTTCCGGTTTTGTCCACCGATGTGCTTTAATAGCATTTGTGGACCACACGTGCTTTAAAAGATACCCCGCTGATTTTCTACAGTTTCCTTATCTTATTTGGCAAAAATATATTGAAGTAAATGTTCTTTTAGCCTACATAAAATTATGAAACATTACTACGCACGTTAGTTTTATGTGAAAAACGAAATAGGGAGTTTTCTTACACTTGAAAAGAAATTGAAAACGTGCTTTCAGTTTCAACGTTGGGGGCTGGTAAATGAGGTGACCAGAAGTTTTTCTTTAGTACAACGCTTGTGACCTTGAAACCGTCATTACACTATTTACATCTTACAGGTACTTACATACAGAGCAGAAGCTTTAAGGCGCATAGGGGGTTCTACATAAATTGAGCATGACGTAGTGAGCGATGGAAATTATAATGAGCTTAAGAGAAAGGAAGAGAGCATGGTGGCTCAGGGAAGAAACCAGTGTTAAGGGAACAATAGTTGAAATAAAGAAGCAGGAAAAAGAGGCTTCGGTCGGGCAGGTAGCGCGTCATCAAGCATGACTGACTGGTTTCGAAGAGATGGCAAACGCGTGAGTTAGAGACAGAAAACTGGGTGGGCAGATCTGACTAAGACGTTTTATGTTATAATGTGGCAGCAGAAAGCGCAGGACCAGGTTGATTGGCCGAACATGGGAGAGGCCTTGGCCCTGCGGGGGGCATATACAGGCTTATGATGCTGATGATAGAATTCACATAATTATGGAATGCGTCAGTGTATGTGTCCGGCAGCACATTAGTAGAGGAGTTCAAACACCACTGCACATTTATCAAATAAAGTACCACAAGCATGTGTGGAGCTACAAGGCGCAACATACTAAGCAGTGAAGTATACTGTTACCTTATCAGTCTTTCAGCATTGTCGTTATCATCAGCATAACCTATACATAATGTACAATTATGCATCATGCAATATCCAAAGACCCCTTCCGCAAGCCAAGCCCAATTTATGATTGCGAGTCGGTTCGCACCAGAAGACCTTTTTCTGTGTGTCTCAGTTCATGTAGCGTAGTACAGTATTTCATGCCAGGTGCGTGCTGCTACATAGAGTGTTGTTATTTGAATATTATGGTCTCAAAACTGGAGTAGTTTTTTGTGTATAATGGGGTAGCAATCAACTAATAGCAATTAGTGACGCTAATAATTTTCGTGGCTGTGCATGCCAAAACCACAATACCATCGTAAGAGACGCCACTGCAGAGAACTCCGAATATTTCATCTACCTCTTTGTTTTTTTTTGAACGTGCACCTATGTCTAAGCATAAAGGCAACTAGCGTTTCACCTCCATAAATTCGCTGCCTCCCCGACCGCAATCTTACCCTTCAAATTTCCGGCGAGTAGTTTGAGAAGGAAGGCAGTGATAGCAGAAATATTCAACTCAGCGAATGAAGCGTGGTCAATATCTACACTTGCTACCACCAAATTTAAACACTCTGGGTAACCAGGCACGATGCTATAGTGAATAAAACTTGGCCCCACATCTCCATGTTTCACTGCAAATGTCGTCGAAAGACAATAGTATTGCGTCCGGAGAGAAGAGGAGGAGGAAAGAACTTTATTCAGAATCCGGCGAGTAGATGGGGTGGGCGATTGGCCCCGCCTAGGTTACGACCAGGAGTCCTTGAATCCTGGCGGCTTCCTCGGTCCGCTGGACGGCCCACATTTGGTCTTCGAGGACGGAACTGAGCATTGCGGCTTCCCAGCGCGCGCGAAGGCTGTCAGCAGAGACCGCATACTTGTTATGAGTACTAATCCCTCTACATTTCCATAACATATGCTGCAGAGTGGCTCTGGAGTCGCAACGCTTGCATCTGTACGTTTTGTATATATCAGGATATATAATGTGCGATAGTGCAGGATTCGGATATGTCCTAGTTTATAACTGCCGTCATTCGACAGACCGTCTTTTTGTTAATTTTGGGTGAGGGTGCGGGAATATGCCCCTCTGTAATCTATAATGTTTTGTAATTTCATTGTATTTGGTCATTCTGTCTTCCCACTCCCACTCGTCTGCCACGCCGTAATCACCAGAGGAGGCTGCGGCGGCACTTGAGAGGGCAGCTCGGTCGGTGAGCCCTCGAGCTGCGTCATCTACAGCCCCGTTGTTGCTGTCCCCCGCGATGGCATGAGCAGGTGTCCATATAATATATGTATTTCTGGGGCTTGTTCGACACCCTCCTTTGAGAATACGTAGTGCCTCCGAGGAGATGCGGCCGTTGGCAAAGTTTCTCACTGCCGTTTGAGAGTCACTGACTATCATTGTTGCGTTTGTGTGAGCTACAGTGCGCGCTATGGCTACCTCTTCCGCTGTCTCGGTACTTGTGGTGCGTATCGTTGAGCATGTCGTACAGAGTTTGTTGCTATCGATTACGGCTGCGGTAAACCTCCGTTTGCGCTTGTATTGAGCAGCGTCTACTAAAACTGCGTCCTTGTCATTACCGAACTTTTTTTGTATTTGTTTTGCTCTTGTCTCTCGCCGGCCTTATCGTGTTCGGGGTGCATGTTTTTTGGCAAGGGTGGTATCGTCAATGTTTCCTTGGTCTCTTTCGGAATGTCCACCTTAACTTCGTGTTGCATGTGATACGTTACGCCTAGTCGCTCTAGAATATGTCTTCCTGCTCGTGTCTTAGAGAGACGTTCATATTCCGCCGTACGCTGCGCCTCAATAAGCTCATCTATTGTATTGTGCAGGCCTAGCTGTAACAGTTTGTCAGTGCTTGTGCTAATCGGTAGCCCTATAGCTAGTTTGAATATTTTTCGAATGAGGCAATCTACCTTGATCTTTTCCGCGACTTGCCATTTTAAGTATGGCGCTACGTATACTATTCTGCTTATCACGAATGCCTGTATCAACCTTATCATGTTTTCCTCCCTCATGCCACTGCGCTTAGTTGCTATACTTTTTATGAGTCTCATTATTTGGGCTACAGTTGCATCTAGTCGCCTGAGGATTTCTCCATTGTTGCCCTTGGCTTCGATGAGCAGACCCAGTACCCTGATCCTGTCGACTGTGGGTATGGTTTTTCCATCGGCAGTTCTTAACTGTATTTCTTCTCTATGACCGAGATCTTGCAGGCAGTTGCCTGGTTTGCGACCTCTACGAGTAGGTCTGTACAGCAACAGCTCCGATTTTTCCGCAGAGCAGGCTAGCCCAGTACCTTCCAGATACCGCTCGACCATTTCAACTGCTGTTTGAAGCGTTTTTTTTTAATTCGCCATCACTACCACTTCTCACCCATAGGATGATGTCGTATGCATATATAGTATGAGTCAGTCCTTCGATTGCTTGGAGTTTGGTTGGCAGTCCAATCAGAGCCAGATTGAATAACATAGGTGGTAATACCGAGCCTTGCGGCGTACCTGCACTGCCCAACTCAATTTCTTCCGAAACTAGGTCCCCTATCATCATCTTTGCCTTCCGTCCCGTCAGGAAATTACGCACGTAATTGTACGTCTGTTGTCCCAGATCTAGATCGTTTACACTTTTTAGCACCGTTGCATGGGTTACATTATCAAAGGCCTTCTTGAGGTCTAACCCTAGTCGCTGTTCCCTTTGTCGCTGTTCCCGGATTATCTATAATCTGATGTTTTAACTGTAGCACTGCGTCTTGCGTTGAGAGGTTCCTCCTGAACCCTATCATTGTGGGTGGAAGCGCATCCCGGTTCTCGAGATTGGTAGTTATTTTCTCCAGAATCACGTGCTCCATGAGTTTCCCCACGCAAGATGTGATAGATATGGGTCTCAAGTCCGCAATCTGCAGTCGCTTGCCTGGCTTGGGTATTAACATGATTTTTGCGGTCTTCCATTGTTGCGGAATCTGTCCTACCTTCCATGATTTGTTAATGAATTCAGTTAACTTAGTTATGGACTCGTCATCCAAATTGCCTAGCGTTTTGTAAGTTATGCCATCTGGTCCAGGTGCTGATCTAGTATTGAGTTTTTGCAAGACGGCTCTCAATTCTGCCTCCCCGATCTCGTTGTCTAAATCATCATTTGCCAGCCCTGTGTAATGAGGGTGTGTAACGGGAAGCGCTTGAGAGATGTATGTTTTCTTGATTTCATTCAGGAAATCCTGCTCTGTACCTTGATATCTTTGTATTAATCGAATAATATTGTGCTTTTCTGCCAACTTGTTTCCATCCGGGTTTAACAAATGTCTAAGGATGGTCCACGTTTTCGCCATTCCTATCTGGTTGTCCATGTCATTGCACTTTTCCTCCGACTGTTGTCTGCACAGCTGCTGGGCGTATTGCTCTATATCCCTGTTCAATTTAGCTGTCCTTCTACGAAGTGTCCGGTTGTGCCTTTGGTTTTTCCACCTCCGTGGTAAACCTTCCTTAGCTTCCCACATGTGGAGAAGCTTTTTGTCTACATACTCTAGCTGCGCCTCCGGACGCACCATTTGCGTAGCGGCCTCCACGTCTCGTTTTAACTTTTCGGTCCATTCCTCAATACTCTGTATCATTTCGTTGGGCTTCTTTCTGATGTTCCGGAAGTTGTCCCAATCGACAAGTTTAAGTTGTCTGCCTTTTGCATTCCGCGGCCCTGCCCTCACCGTTATTTCAAGTATAAAATGATCGCTTTCCAAGTCATGTTGCGTATTGGTCCATTGCGTGTACAGTATGTTTTTGGTGAACGTCAGATCTGGCGTAGTATCCGGCAAACGCTAGTACCTGTT